ACTAGAGGAGGATGTTTAGCTTTGACTGAGAGGGTATCGAGTTTTCCTTGACTAGAGGAGAATGTTTAGCTTTGACAGAGAGAGTATCGAGATTTCCTTGACTAGAGGAGGATGTTTAGCTTTGACTGAGAGGGTATCGAGTTTTCCTTGACTAGAAGAGGATGTTTAGCTTTGACTGAGAGGGTATCGAGTTTTCCTTGACTAGAGGAGGATGTTTAGCTTTGACTGAGAGGATATCGAGTTTTCCTTGACTAGAGGAGGATGTTTAGCTTTGACTGAGAGGATATCGAGTTTTCCTTGACTAGAGGAGGATGTTTAGCTTTGACTGAGAGGATATCGAGTTTTCCTTGACTAGAGGAGGATGTTTAGCTTTGACTGAGAGGATATCGAGTTTTTCTTGACTAGAGGAGGATGTTTAGCTTTGACTGAGATTTTAGACCAGGAAATGCTAGAGTTTCAATTTCTAAGATGCTTCCTTTTCCCTTTTAAACAAGTGGGAACAGACGACTTATAACTCCTCTTAATAAGCGGAGAGTTTTTTCCCATAGCTCATAGGCCTAACTCACTAGTTTTCCCTGGAACACGACTCGCCAATCGAATAATAACAACCAAGCACCCAATTACTGCTGGGTGAACAGAGGCAAACAGCTAATGATTGACTACTAGTCAATCCTCCCTGGATTGACCCGGGTCCAGCAGAGAGAGAGACCCGGGTCCAGCAGAGAGAGAGACCTGGGTCTAGCAGAGAGAGAGACCCGGGTCCAGCAGAGAGAGAGACCTGGGTCTAGCAGAGAGAGAGACCCGGGTCCAGCAGAGAGAGAGACCTGGGTCTAGCAGAGAGAGAGACCCGGGTCCAGCAGAGAGAGAGACCCAGGTCCAGCAGAGAGAGAGACCCGGGTCTAGGAGAAAGACCTGGGTAAATACTGCACCCCACTCCACCATTAGGAATATTCCCTAGGCGTGTGGCTGAGAGCAGCAGGTAACGAGTCTCCCTGCACAAAGTTTTCACAAGTTGGATCGTAAAACGTTTTCGGCGTTCCTTCCTTCCCTTCACATTAAACCGTTCTTCCGTTCCATTCCTCCCTTCCCCATTCTTCCTTTCTCCATCTCGCCTCTTCCTTCCTTCTATGGTCCCCCGTTTCACAAATGTATTTTTTCTATTATGTAGAGACGAAGGCAGAGAGAGAGAGAGAGAGAGAGAGAGAGAGAGAGAGAGAGAGAGAGAGAGAGAGAGAGAGAGAGAGAGAGAGAGAGAGAGAGAGAGAGAGAGAGAAGGACGGGTGAGAGAGTGAGTGAGGGAGAGAGAGAAGGGAAGGGTAAGGAAAGAATAAAGTGACGAGAAAAAAGCAAGAATAAAGATGAGAATAACAAGACGACCTTACTAAGTCCTTCAAGATTCCGAGGATCAACATCCCCCGGGCCCTGTCTCCGACCAGGTGGTCTCCTGGATGGTGATCTGGTCAACCAGGCTGCTCGACGAGGCTGCTCGCACCCTACCGGAGTTGGCCAGATATCAGTAAAGCCGTAAGATAACAATTACAGAAACAGCAGAAGGCCCTATTGACCCTTACGAGATGGCTGCTATTTATATCCAATAACTTCAATTACATTCGAGTGAATACAGTCGCCCCCCGAAGCTTCGCTCGGTCAACTTCAGGAACAACAGTTTCTTAATAAGTCAGCCCTGTTCTGCTTCGATTCATTTATCAATAATTTCTCAGGCGACTTATGACATTCAATATTCAACGCTTGATAGAAGATGGGCGACACACACACACACACACACACACACACACACACACACACACACACACACACACACACACACATACACACACACACACATACACACACACACACGCAAGACAGGCTATTTAACACAAGGGGCACACGCACAAGGGGACACAGGTGGAAACTGAGTGCCCAAATGAGCCACAGAGATATTAGAAAGAACTTTTTTAGTGTCAGAGTGGTTGACAAATGGAATGCATTAGGCAGTGATGTGGTGGAGGCTGACTCCATACACAGTTTCAAGTGTAGATATGATAGAGCCCAGTAGGCTCAGGAATCTGTACACCAGTTGATTGACAGTTGAGAGGCGGGACCAAAGAACCAAAGCTCAACCCCCGCAAACACAACTAGGTGAGTACAAGTAGGTGAGTACAGGGCCTTGCGGCCGAGCGGACAACGTTCCCGATATATAATTCACAGGTTCGATACATACTGGGAAAGATTATTTCACCTGATGTGTCTGTTCACCTATCAGTACATAGCTACCCGGGAGATAGACTGCGTCTTGGGGATATGTGCGCGCGCGTAGGAGCCGGTTGGGCCGGCTTTGGGCAGGTAAAACCAAATAAAATTGGGGAAACTTTGGTAGGGGGGGTATTAGACTCCGTAAAAAAATGTGACTTAACTGATTGGGGAGAGGAGGAACAACAGGGGGGACTAATAAAGAACAAGGGGGGAGAATTGTGAGGGGGGGGGGAAATGAGTTAGAGAATCTGTGAGGCAACTGTGAGGACGAGGCCCCCGAGGGGCTGTTAGCGGCGGTAATCACATTGTCACTTGACACACGTCACGAGCAGTCACCAGCGGGAAGCTTGGGGGCTTAGCCGGAGGCTCTGGTAATATGATCAACGACCCCATTACCCTGAGTGGTTCAGACTTCATTCAGCTCTCAATCACCCTATTACCCTCAGTGTTTTATTCAGCTCTCAATCACCCTATTACCCTGAGTGTTTTATTCAGCTCTCAATCACCCTATTACCCTGAGTGTTTTATTCAGCTCTCAATCACCCTATTATCCTGGGTGTTTCAGACTGTTCATTCAGCTCTCAACCACCCTATTACCCTGAGTGTTCACGCTCTTCCTCAGGCACTAAATCACCCAATTACCCTGAGCATCTCGCAGACAGAGAGTCAATTTATCAACAAGGAACAAGGTGTTCTCAGTATATTGGACGAGCTTATCCATAAACTGCTTGACAAGAGAGGAGGAGAGGCTCCTGATTCTATATTTTAAAATTAGATGTGCTTAGATAAACCTTTTTAAATCGCGTTGTTTACCAGGGTAAAAATCCATCTTCATTACAACCTAGGATTAGAGACATATGGATAAGAATATTACCGTTGCTAATAACTTTAATATCAAAGATTAATAAGAACTTTTAATGAACTCTTACTGAACACAGTGTATTTGTTTAAGCTATCGGCACCTAACGTTAAAATTGCGATGGTTTAAGGAAAGTAAAACTACCGCGGTATTGTCGACAGGTAACCAGAGACGTTTTATTTTGACGTCGACGTCGACAGGTAACAAGAGACGTTTTATTCTGACGTCGATATCGACTGATAACCAATTACAATTAAAAATAAAATTAGAGAGCTCAAACAAGCTCTTGCAACATTTCCAGCCTGATAAAGCTGTCATAACTCTTCACAATCTGCATGACGGAAATATGGCAGTCTAATATAGAAATGATTCTTAGCACAGCTTTTTCAAGTGAAGCCAAAAATAATTGATCTATAATCACTATTACCCAATTCGTTGCCTATTTCCATAATGTCATCGTCTCTATGTTCCCCGGGAGACCAAAATTAGAATATTAATACTCCAGGTGACATCAGTATAAAATATTCCTGTCACGGGAATAATATTCGATCATCTCCAGGTGACATCTCCAGGCGATTCAGTTACCCGGATTTAACGCCCTGGCTGTTTCCCACGAGGTTAAAGTCTCTAATGATATGCGCATTACGATATTCTGATGCAGGTCGGAGTTCAATCCCTGACCGTCCAAGTGGTTGGGCATGATTCCTTTCTCCAGTTCCATCCCAAATCCTTATCCTGATCCCTTCCCAGTGCTATATAGGCGTAATGGCTTTGTGCTTTCCCCTCATAAGTCCTTGCTAGAGAGAGAGAGAGAGAGAGAGAGAGAGAGAGAGAGAGAGAGAGAGAGAGAGAGAGAGAGAGAGAGAGAGAGAGAGAGAGAGAGAGAGAGAGAGACAGAGAGAAAGAGAGAGAGAGAGAGATTAAGAATAACTAGCAAGCAATAGATCAAGGGACATAGAGAAGGGAACCGAGAAAGATACAATTGCAAGGGAGTGATGGAGCGCAGCAGAGAGAGGGGAAGAGATGAAAGTGAGAGGAAGAGAGAGGGGAGGGAGAGGGGAAGGAGTGAGAGAAGGGAGAGGAGCCGCCAGTCGGTGTGTTAGTGGGCTGGAGTCTGGACGTGCTTCGCGACCTCTCTCACTGTAGCGCGGTGTAGTGTCCCCTCACTTCACTCGCCTCTCCCTTCCTCTCACCTATCTCACTCTCCCCTCACCTGCCTCACGGCGCCCCCTCACTTCCTAAACTCTCACACGCGAAGAAAACCGATCGTGTCAACGAGGAACAGTTACAACAAACTCTAATTATCCTAACTTTCTAACCTAACCAAAAACTTACTTACGTTGCCAAAACGAATCATCGAGCGCATACCTTTTCCGACCTCCTGTGACTCGTATAGAGAGAGAGAGAGAGAGAGAGAGAGAGAGAGAGAGAGAGAGAGAGAGAGAGAGAGAGAGAGAGAGAGAGAGAGAGAAACATATACCTCACATAACCTCCATATCGTCAAGTGACCCGCACGATAAATGCCTCTAAATAAGGGGAAACAACAATGAAACGAATCTATTATAACCCCGAAGAAAATTAAAACCAAATCACCCATTCATCGCTACCATGACACCGGAAGCTCGTGTATGTGATGTCCAGGAAGAGGAAGTCTTTAGTAATGGTTGAAAGGAAACTGCATTAGCCAAAAGGCTTGCGTTTGTGCGTGTGTGAGTGTGTGTGTGTGTGATATCTTCAGCTCCACCTTCACGGGACAGCTGCTTGTCCCCCTGACACTTGTGGAGTCATCAACACCCGTGGGACAATAACACCAGCTACCAACACCTGCGTTATACTAGGAGGAGCAGTCAACACCCGTCGTACATCCGCGGGGTTCACCAAACACCTACGGGATACTAGCAAGGTCCGTCATCAACATCTGTGGAACTCTGACGGTGTTCTCCAGCACCTGTGGAACACTGACGGTGTTCTCCAACATCTGTGGAACACTGACGGTGTTCTCCAACACCTGTGGAACACTGACGGTGTTCTCCAACATCTGTGGAACACTGACGGTGTTCTCCAACATCTGTGGAACACTGACGGTGTTCTCCAACATCTGTGGAACACTGACGGTGTTCTCCAACATCTGTGGAACACTGACGGTGTTCTCCAACATCTGCGGAACACTGACGGTGTTCTCCAACATCTGTGGAACACTGACGGTGTTCTCCAACATCTGCGGAACACCGACAGTGTTCTCCAACATCTGTGGAACACTAGCGCCTCTTGGGACATCACCTGGAACTACTAAGTCACGTGTTCTTCATCACCATGTGTTCTCACAGTAGGTTTTATACGTTCTTCTAAAAATCTTATGAGTGGGGCCTTTGACGATTCGTATAATTAGAAAGAAAAAATAATTTATGTTCATGTCAGCGCACACACACGTGTACGTGAGTGTGTGTGTACATATACACACACATACGTACAAATATCCCCTTCATACACAGGGACACGTATATTCATACACACATACACAAAGGTTTTAAACGCCTCTCTACATACATACACACACACAAGCACACATGCGTGTACACACACACACACACACACACACACACACACCCTCTCATGAACCCACACCAATGTCTTAAAAAAAAGAAAAAAAGAACACTAAAAAATTTACCAATATGATGTAACACAAAAGCAGAATTGTGAGTTTTCTAAATTGTTTGTAGATTTAATAGTGAAATATCCTCTCACGTCAATTTACCAACTAAATGATTTAAAATAATAATATTAATATTGAAAGATAGCTACCGTGGTCCAGAGAAAGAGTGGGAGAGAGAGAGAGAGAGAGAGAGAGAGAGAGAGAGAGAGAGAGAGAGAGAGAGAGAGAGAGAGAGAGAGAGAGAGAGAGAGAGAGAGAGAGAGAGAGAGTGCAAGAAAGCTGGATATACAGAACATCATTAAATACAGAGGACGGTCAGAAGGCTAGTTTCGTAACCATGAAATTTGTTAGAACGTTAGAAACACTGATTATATATATATATATATATATATATATATATATATATATATACATCTGGGGGATTGAAACAATTATCACAACATTTGTTCATAAAAACGAATATATATTAAATCACAACACTTACATAGAAGTATTAATTAACATTTTTATGTAACGAAGCTGGACCACAATGAGACTCAGAAATATTCTGTAATGTGTGTAATGCATTTCCTGTAATACAATCGATTTTGTCGTCGCCTGAATACAGCAAACAGGATGTGAAGCATTACTGGGGTTTCTCTCTAAAAGTGAAGCGAAAGCAAAAATATATAAATAAAAAAACACGAAGTTCAACGTAAATTCTTTTCAAAGAAGCAGGAGAATAGCCTTTAATCCAGGGGATCTGAACCTCTCCCAGGCATAAACAAGGATCACTGGAGCGAGTTTAATATATCTATAGATATATTATTTTTAACCCTGTACATTATATCATACAATTCATCAATCTGGGAGCCCCCGTATGGAGCGAACAGCCAATTTAAAAGGATTAAATAATTAACAAAAAATAACTGGATAAAAAATATAAACGAAATAAAAACACATGCAAGGGAAAAATTATATAAACGAAATAAAAATAACCGAGAGAAGATTATATATAAACTGAAAGCGGGAAAATAATTTAAATTAAAGTAGTGAAGCAAGGAAAACTCTGAACACTAAACACATTGAACACTGAACACATTGAACACCAGCAGGTGTTCTTGACTACCTGACAGCCTCGTGCACAAGATGGAAACATTGTCGGGTCGAACTTTGAGTCTTGGGTTCGAGGTCTCTTCTTTGGCGACAGTGTACAGCTTTGACAGGTCTAGTTGTCGTTCTGTGTACAGTGATGCACAGCTGTTCTGTGGTGGTGCACAGTGATACACAGCTGTCGTTCTGTGGTGTACAGTGATACACAGCTGTCGTTCTGTGGTGTACAGTGATACACAGCTGTCGTTCTGTGGTGTACAGTGATACACAGCTGTCGTTCTGTGGTGTACATTGATACACAGCTGTCGTTCTGTGGTGTACAGCAGTCGTTCTGTGGTGGTGTACAGTGATACACAGCTGTCGTTCTGTGTTGGCGTGCAGTGATACACAGCTGTCGTTCTGTGTTGGTGTACAGTGATACACAGCTGTTCTGTGTTGTGTACACCAATGTACAACCTCGTACATACAAGCCAGCTGTGCAACCCCTCGTCATAAACAGCTCGGTACATAGACACTGATTATCACTGCTCACTGTAACACAGTCACACGAATCCTTCACTGCATTATTCCACAGAACCAATCACTAAATATTTGCTCCAACCTTAATGAATCGAGTTTTACAAAGTGCGATTAGCTAAAAAAATTAATTTTACGAGTGCAATAGTTAAAAAAAATGAACAATTTGGAGAGTCAGCTTCGTAATGGACTACCCAGCAGCTGCGAGCCGCGGTCGGTACTCTATTATACAGCTGCATTATAAAACAATGCCTATATACATGCATGCATTTCCTAGCTCAACGGACTGGAAACAGGAATGCATGTTATTGTAAACAAATGAAACTAGTTTAGGACTTGTTGGGTGGTGGGTGTTCGATCCCCAATGGTCCAAAGTGATTGGACACCGTTTCATTACTTCATCCTTATATCCCATCTCCTATCCCGCCTTCATATCCTATAACTGTTATCCCGTCCTGATATCTCTCCCGAGTGCTGTGTAGTGATAATGGCTTTGCGCGCTATCCTGATAATTATTAATTATCTAATTGGTTAGTGTTGTTATACGTGTGAAGTCAGATAATGATTGAATGCCCCCTGGCGATTGGCTGATCGTCTGGAAGCAGAGGTGATTGGTCGACTGGAACCAGAGGGGTTAATTGGTCGACTGGAACCACAGAAGTGATTGGAACGTAGCCGTGATTGGTTGATTGGAACCAATGGTGATAAGTTTATTAGTTTACTCTCAACAACACATTTCTATGCTGCGTGTCACACACATATATATTTGTATGGTCCATCAAAGCCTGATTAAAGTTTCTGTGTGTATATATATATATATATATATATATATATATATATATATATATATATATATATATATATATATATATATATACAAAAACTTTAACCAGGCTTTGATGGACCAGACAAATATATATGTGTGACACAAAAATCGTCAAATTTATATCAAATGGGAAAAATTGATGTCACGAGGGTAACGGTTTTAACGAACCTTCACAGAATCACTCACTCATTTTTAAAAATGGATCCAAAATGGAGCATTTGTGTGTTTGAATTCTGAAAACAAAAAAATTTTGCCAGCACTGAATAAAAATTCATATAGGAATCATAATTTTTTTGCCACTAATTTGCAAAAAAAATTAGCCTCGTGAGCAGCGTGGTGAGATTGAGGGCGTTTCTAAGTATGTCCACGTTCTGACATACTTAATACACCGTAATTTTGACGATATCGTCAAAATGCGTCGAAATCTCGGTGCTTTAGTGAAATTTAAACCACCGCAATATTGACGCTTGCTCGACTAATGAGCATCGGGCCAGCTAGGCTACAGGAGATGGTATTAACCAGCTGTGTTCGTACGCTTCTGTTTTAGGCCCGTACAACGCTTAAAAATTGAAGTTTGTCAAGATCAGACTATCACCAAATACCTCAAGCTCACGAAGAAGTACAAACTCCAACAAAATGGGTTCAAAAAAATAATTTTTAAATTATTAAAATAAAAAACCCAGCAAGATTAAACTCCCACAATTTAAATTGAAATTTTATCTCTAGCGCTGCTACGAACAAAATTTGAAACCCTAAATCATCTTAAAGAAGCGTTCACAGCCTCCATTGTGCCTAAGAAGTGGTATTGAAGATTTGTCAATTATAAAATATAACCTCTCATGGTTACAAATATATATACTCCCTTATTGGTATATTGAGAATCGCCAAAAACAAGAAATATTAAACCATTAAAGCCGTTTTTTCCAAGTAAAAACTTTGAATATCCAAAATGTGTTATATAAGTAACACATTATTAAACTTATGCTTCTCTCTATATCTCAAAAATCTCCGAAGCTTCCATTAGAGGCCTCTAAGTCTTTCAGATGATTTCACAAAATTGGTTAAAAGTTTCTCAAGTGTTCTTATTAATAAAAATTAATGTAAATATTTATATTGTGCGTCTGGCAGCGCGGGGACACACTAGCACGCCCCACGAATACACGTCTGGCAGCACGGAGACACACTAGCACGCCCCGCCACCCCACAAACACACGTCTGGCAGCGCGGAGACACACTAGCACGCCCCCACAAATACACGTCTGGCAGCGCGGAGACACGCTAGCACGCCCCGCCACCCCACAAACACACGTCTGGCAGCGCGGAGACACGCTAGCACGCCCCACGACCCCACAAATACACGTCTGGCAACGCGGAGACACACTAGCACGCCCCGCCACCCCACAAACACACGTCTGGCAGCGCGGAGAGACACTAGCACGTCCCGCTACCCCACAAACACACGTCTGGCAGCGCGGACACACACTAGCACGCCTCGGGACCCCAAAATACGCGTTTGGCAGCGCGAGACACCTGCCACCCCAAAAAAGTTCGACTGGACGTTATCGGCGTGATTTACTGAAGAGCGCTGAGAAATTTACTTCACATGCCAATAACAGACGACCGTTGCAGTCGTTAGGCTGTGAATGATGTAAACAAAAATGGTTTTAGCGACGAGTAGGGATCAGGAGCCACTCGTATTGCTGAAAAACACCCATTCCTGCATCAGTATAATCTTTGCGAGCAGCGGCGTCTAACAGCCTAGTCCATCAGACAATCAACCAGGAGGCCTGGTCAGAGACCGGGCCAAAAAAAAATTAGCCTCGTGAGCAGCGTGGTGAGATTGAGGGCGTTTCTAAGTATGTCCACGTTCTGACATACTTAATACACCGTAATTTTGACGATATCGTCAAAATGCGTCGAAATCTCGGTGCTTTAGTGAAATTTAAACCACCGCAATATTGACGCTTGCTCGACTAATGAGCATCGGGCCAGCTAGGCTACAGGAGATGGTATTAACCAGCTGTGTTCGTACGCTTCTGTTTTAGGCCCGTACAACGCTTAAAAATTGAAGTTTGTCAAGATCAGACTATCACCAAATACCTCAAGCTCACGAAGAAGTACAAACTCCAACAAAATGGGTTCAAAAAATAATTTTTAAATTATTAAAATAAAAAACCCAGCAAGATTAAACTCCCACAATTTAAATTGAAATTTTATCTCTAGCGCTGCTACGAACAAA